AGCCTACAAGGAAACGCCCCAATAGACCACCGTTGTTGAGATATCAAGTTGTAATTTATCCCATTTACTATGTGTATCGGACTGCGTCACTCGGTAGTGTGCGTCACTCGGTAGTGAAATACGTTAGTTAATCGTCGATCGTAACTATCGAAAGCGGTTTGGTGTCCTTGGCACAGATACTGCCATGATCCGTCTCATTTCCACACCCTCCTTTTATCTTGCTGGGAGAAGTTACTTGTTTTGAATCTACCTCAGATCTGCCTGTGAGATACAGGAATAACATTCACTTCGGCTGATCTCTTCGACAACAAGTAATCAAATTGAAGATATGTAATAACAATTTGTAGATGGAAAATTCCAGAGGGGCAATGTAAATAAGGTTGAGAACAGTAAGGAGTGACAGTCCACAAGATCAGCTCGATAACAGTAAGGAGTGACAGTCCACAAGATCAGCTCGTTGATCTGAGCGACAAAGCAGATACACAGGTCTGAGAAGAGTTGCTAAGCCCTCGCGCGATTTAGGGCTGGTCAATATGATTGTGGTTTGGGTTCTCGGAGCTGCCTGTGTTCGTACACACACATCGATACGTGCGATACGGTGGTTGGCTATCAAAAAACCACATGGTTTCCGTTCCGCTCCGCAAATATTCGACGGGGATCTATTTAAATGAGACTTGCGAAATACGAAGGCCCGTATCCATGGACTTACCTCGTTGCTCGAAAACATGATATTCACTTTGCCCTCGGTGCATTCCAACATTCCCGTAGATTCGTTCCCAGAAAGACGACGGATACCGACGGAATCCCCAAGCTCGTAAAGATTGACAGTGTCAAAAAATGCTTCAACAAATGATGCATACTCTTCAAGTCTTGGGGGATCGGTCTTGGAATAAGGGACAAACCCGAATTCATAAGGGAAGACATTACCCTCCCTGCAAAACCATGAAGTCGGGATAATCTTCCCGCCATGCTTCGCAAAAGAATTGTCGGACCGCCATGGGGCTGTGACCATGTCCTTTTCCACGAGAATTGTTCCCTCTTCCAGGTCAAAATGACGATGAACAAGAGCGACTCCAAAAATCTTTTCAACTCCGTGTTGCAGAATAAGGGATTTTAGCTTGGTCTCCACGAAAGAAACACCATTCCTTTCTCGAAACTGCCTGTCAGCATCATGAAGAGAAAAGATGCTGTGGAAAGCAGCCGGGTCAAAGGTCTCTGCGAACATCGATATTTTTGGTTGCTGAGGTTAAAAGATTGGGACGAGAGAGTTGGCGACAAGAAGGAAAGATCTCGTGGAATTGGTCCTTCTTATAGTAAGTGACCACCATGTAATTTCGTTTTAGCAAGCCATTCTCAGCAAGAGATCTGCACCTTGCGGTAGCAAAATACGAGCAGTGCATAGCCTCTGTTTGCTTGGTGTACGACACATATTCACTGGGTCTGTGCAGAGGATTCGAGGGAAAAAGGACGAAGAGATGAGTTGAATTTTACGGACAGGGATGTTTTGGGCAAGATACCTAACTTCCGAGGAACATTGACTAGGCCGGGGTACAATAGATGAAGTTGCATACGACGCACATAAGACATGTGCTCTTGGCATTTTACTAAGCCTCGAGTGTAAATAAAATGTGACTCTCCTATCTTTACTGCATTTTAATTAACTGATAACAATCTTGAATTTCTCTTATGTGGCACAGACGTATCATTAGCCATGGTATTCCCACACGCTACATATTCTGCTCTTATGGTTGGACGTATTCATGCGAAAGTAACACGTCCATACTGCATTCCGGAGTTCGAAAAATGTAGAAGGAAGCTGCCGCCTTTCTTAGATTTATTACAGCAATTTGGAGCTATGCAGCATATAAGTAGCGTATAGTGATGGGAGAAGTCAAGGCACGTACCGTCACAATTTGGGTCTGCAGGTTGGGTTTTATACAGGCAAGAATTGTCAAGCCTAATAAAACAAGAAACAACCCTATTGAGCTAACGGAAGCTACCCATAAAGCTCGTTGATGCCTGGCAGTTGTGAGGTCCGGACTTCGCCAGAACAATTTAAAGGTACCTATTCGGGTATGCCATGACCTCATGCAAATGACCCATGCTCTAATAATTTGAGCATGAACGAAGCTGAGACTAGCAAAGCTGATGATCATATATGAAGAAAACAAGCCATTGTGGTACTCCTGCAGTTTTGGTCAATTAAGTACGCATGATAGGTAGAATCATCAGTTAAATCTCACCGAAAAATACAAGGAAAGTGATAGAATAGTAAGTGCCCCCATCAATGATAGGGCATATATCATATGAGTTAACGAGGATTGCAAAGTAGAAACACATAAATACTAGAGAGGTAAGTGCCATGCCACTCCCCTCCTATTTTAACGTCCTTACCTCATTTAAATTGAGTGAAAGTAATACACCACCAATTTCCTGCTGAAGTATTGGCCGAAGCTGGCCTTGAATAAAGTTAGGTTCGATAATGATTAAGAGGGGAGAGAGAGATTGAAACTTTACTTTTCGTCCACTTCGATTCAAACAATACGATTGGAATAGATGCAATCAGTCCCAAAAGGGTCGCACAGCCTAGAATAAGTTGGCTAGAAATGAGAAATTCTCTCCTTAATCTTGATAGACTGAGAGCCTTAATAGATAGGAGCCAGAGAAGAAGACTTGTTCCACAGCAGAAAGATGCTATTGCGGATGTAGCCAGTTGAAAAATCACCTCAGAATCCATGTTTTCCTGGAATTTTGATATTTGCTTCCAGACCAGGAAGTTGGGCCTGGCTAAACATGGTTTTATACATTTGCTAGGCTTGGATTAACCAAATTGACCATGTCGTCTCTAACCAAGCACTACTACGGAGGAAGATCAGAATGAGGTGAATTACACGTCTGGCGTTTCTCGACGAGACTTTCTCTGCTGTTGGGGGCGGTGTAAGAGGAGGCTCATCAAAGACACTCCCGGGTGGAGTGATACTAGATGCCATAAGGTGGCCACGGAAGTCAGGGCGAGAATTTGAGATGGTTTGGTCGCGATTAAAGACTGCTGGCCGCGGATTTCAACGGAGGACGTTTGATATTTAAGCTTACGGAGAACGGAAGAACTATCCGCCGCTCCCCGGGAGATTATCCGCCTTTCGGAGCGTCCAACAAGCCCCGCGCCACTTCTGCCCAATATCATCTTTGCAAGATCCTTTACGACCGTTCCATGTGAGTAACCAAAACATTTTGTATCGGCTATACTGATAAATAGTCAACAGATTTCGGTGTAGTCCAACTACATTCGCACTGGCTCGTCTCTCAATCCAAGGGCATATCTATGGCTACGCAGGGTTCGGATAACAACTTGGTGGAATCTTTGGAGATACCTTCATCTATCAAAGACATCTACGCTGAGGCTTGCGGAAATGATCAGTCTATAGCAGAATCCCTGTCGATCCCTTCTGATCGGATATCCGCCACTATACTGATGCAGGGCGGCCGGGGGAGGGAGGTAATTACCAAGATTGAAGAGCTCTCTTTGGTGAGGATGCATGATTCAGCTTCGATATAATTGGGTTCTGACTTGGAATAGGATAACCCGACTCGAAAAAAACGCCTTTTAAAACAATACGGAATAAGACCTGCTCTCCAGGTTTTCTCTTCAGGTGTAAACATAGTTGGCAACCCCTATATGGCAATTATACCGTTTTACATCAAGGGAAAAGTGACACTCGGTGAAGAAACAGTTCAGTTGGGTCGCTACTATCACGTGTATGGTGAGAGTCGACTGGTGATTGAGAATAATGCGAAATTAGGGATTTGGGGGTATAAACTGGGAAGTTAGCATTATCGCTTTGTTAAGATACATGAAGTTTTTAGTGGGATCATAGACCGAGATTGTCTAGTGGAGCAATACTTTCAAAATCAAAGCAAGACCTCCGGGCAATATCATCCATAATTCCGGAAATATCAATAGGTTGATTAGAAATTTGTTCATAAAAAATGCTCGCAAATTCGGCCTCGGCACAATCCTCTTGATTAGGCGATTCGACTCCGTTGTTAGAGACGTTGGCGTTTGTAAACCCCAAATTCGATAGAACCAAATCTTGCGGAATAGCAAGACATCCCACGGAATTATCGATAATATCCGGGGTACGAACGCAATCAGTCCTTCGGAATTTCTGTCTCTCCGATTCCATTCCCGAGACTGGGATATTACAGAAGATCACTAAACAACGTTAGCACAGAGTAGGAGAACTTGTTATACGAAGTCAACTCACAATCGTAGGAATTTTGCAGTTGATTAAACCATGGGCTAAGGTCTCGTACTAGATCGAGCAGACGGATCTTGCTCTGCGAGATTGTGACATATATGTCGTCTGAAACAAGTTTGTCCGCAAAGCGTTGCATTTCATCATAGCGAAATCTTCGAAATTGATCTATATGCAGACCAGCAATGGCGGAAATTGCATTGCATATACTTGGCATACCTTTCTTTTTTAGGCGTTCGGAAATGATCTTCTCCAGAACCATATGTTTGAGACCAGCAGATAAGGATTTCGAGAAGAAATTGTTATTGCCATAATTGAAGATATTGACGTTAGAAGGAGTTGGAGACAAAGTGTGTTGATAAAGTTCCTCGAGCTTCGTCGGATAAACTTCATTGTCTAGCTGCTCGTTTGTGAATTCCAGACCAATCGATCTGAGTGCAAGAACTCTCAAGAGCTTGGCATCGCTGCCAAGTGATCGATCTCCTTCTAGGCGCCTTATGTGCTCCAATCGAAGGTCCTCATCAGAGCTTCGCTTGCGAGATAGTAGGTGGCAGGGTAACTTTTGGCTAGCTTCCCAAACCCAACTTGCTGATTGTTTTATTCGTTTCAACAAGCTAGGGACATGGTCTGGAGCACGTATAATATCCACGGGTATAGCGCTACCCGAGGAGTCTCTGGCCGGTATCGACTGGGCGGTTGGAGGGGTAAGACGTGGAAGGGAAACTTGTAGGCTAGAGAAACGAGGTGTTTGTGGAGATAAGGTGAATTGGTCTCTGAGTGCCGTCGTTTCCGCAATATACAAAGGTTGAGGTGAATGTGGAGGAGATGGCACGCTTGGAGTTTCCGTGGGAACACAATCTGTGAACCTCGCAGCCTGAAGAGGTTGAAGAGATTTTGAATTTGGCACACCTGCTTGGTCTCCGGGTTCTACTTGAAGATGTTGAGGTGAATGTGGAGGAGATGCCACGCTCGGCGGGTCTGTAAGAGTCGTCTGAAAACCTGGTGTCGAGGGTATTAGATTGTGCTGAAGACGTTGGCTCACTGTCTTGAGCGTCAAAATGGTCTGTGTAGCATAGGAGTGGAGATCGGTCTCAGATGCATTACGTATGGTCTCCAAGGCCACGAGAAAGTTCATTTTGGTGAGTTGAGATAGTTCAGGAGAAGAATCAGGCTTACTCTTCAGTTCTTACTATGAGCTTGGACCCACGGTCGACATTATGAACTGCTGGCGAGTCTTAGCCATATTGTAGTGTCTAACTTCAAAACGTGGTCTATGAATGGCCGGGTTCGGACCCACATTCCAGTGTTCAACATCGAAATGTGGGTCTGTTTTGATATATTTGAGTATCTTCTACGCCCGCGCGAGGCGCGGTAAGCAGTTGGAAGCTGCGCTTTCGCTCAAGTAATCGTTTGGGTAGAAGTGATTCGCTGATCACAAAATTGTGCAGTCTGCCTACATTATCACACGCCTAATGTAAGCGTGCTGCAAGAGTGTTCCTCACTGCTTAGTGCGGGGCGGGCTTCTATCATTGGACGCATTGTTCCAAATGTAGCGGAGAGTACGGGAACAACTAGTCTGGTCTTATAATTGGTACGCTGTGTCACCACCACATACGGGATTGGCTAGGCATATAGGTAGGTGCGTGCTAGTAGAACAATTTTCCGATCGTAGTTAGCACCACTGTTGGTGGGCCACACCGGATCCCAGATTCTTACCGGATCCTAGATTTTCAAATTAGGTATCTTTTGTATAGATTTGCTATAGAAAAGATACCTAAAACGCAATATAAGTATAACAGGATTTTCCTAACCTGTCAAACTGCCAATTTAGGCGGCAGAAGCCGAAAATTTGATGGCCCACTAGCGCCCCTGCTTTGAACAAGCTCTGCTGGGCATGTCTGAACTGCTGCCATATCGCCATTTTCCCAGACCCTACCCTGCCAAGACGTAGGGTTCCCCTCAAATAACACGTCGACCGAAAGTCTGATCAAAAAGACAGCATCGGACAAATAAAAATAATCCAAGGCTATAGATCTATAAAGTTGTAGCTTTCCCTCTCCTACTTGAAGATACTCTCTCTCTCTTCTAATAAGGATTCACTCCCGCACTTCCAAGGTCTATAACAAGTTAGTTTTAAATAAGCTTTGTACCAATCTCTCAAATCTCTATTGAACTTGATCTGACGAAGTCTAACTTGAGCCAGATCCCGCCCGGAAATCACCAAGATGTGCACTCGATATGTCCATACCACCAGATTTGTGAATTGCGTTGCACGACCCAAACACACCGTTACACATTATGATCTTCAGCCGCCATGCGGTAAACCAAATTGCCCTGGATATAAGGACGAGCATATGGCCCAGTCTACCAAGAAGGGAGGAATATGCCCCAAGTGTTGAGGATCAGAGACAACAATTACGACACCCTTCATGACTTTTCTTCCTTTCATTCTCTATGTCGGGGTTGTCGTATGGATGTATACCGTTCCCGCTGTCTATATAAGTTGGCAATGATGGCATATAGCTGAGTGTTAGGTCACGAAGTAAATCTAGCGGCTCCTATCGTTCTCTTTTCTATCGCTGGAGGGAAAGTCTTAGGTCCTGAATAAATTAAAGGTTGATTGCTATGCCCGGGAGAATCAACAACTATAATAGTAGTGAACAGTCTTTTCCGCTATAAACTTAGTGAAATTGCATCTTTATGGAGCAAAAGCCCAATATGTTAGTATGCCAGAATGCGATATATAGAAGATTGTCACCCACATAATTACGTCACTAGTCTTTGGAGAATGGGGATAGGGCTAAGAATTACTGACCGTACTTGCTTCACTTGCTCGTTTCATTTTCGGATTTTTGTTTCCTTCATCGACCTTCACCTTAGCCGCCCTAGCAGGCTTCGTTAAAACAGATCAACTATTTGCCTTGTATTGGTATTCAATTCGGTAGGCTAAGAATATCATGGAATATAGCATAGGAGGAACAATACGAAGTAACACTATATAGATGTATATTGTATATCGATTCCCGAATATATTTCAGCGACTACCTAGGTAACTTGAATAAGACATAGATCAGAAACAATCTCAGCAGCCTGCCGATACTGCTGCTTCCAACATTTTTCTGTGATTTGAGAGCAAGGATGATTGTCATTCGGAAAGAGCCCATTTTGGAAGCGCGACAAGATCTCTTCATCATCTTCCAAGCTATCAAGTTCAGGAAAGACCTCATGTCCGGTCATAATAAAGTAGATAGCGGAACCAAGCGCAAAAAGATCGGTCGCCACACATGCATAATCCCCATGGACTCGAGGCTGATATGACTTTGAGCACTCCCGAGAGAGCCCATCCAGTAAAGTGTTGCCATCGGCGGACTTCAACATCCCCTGAAAGTCTGCAAGTAATATATCGAGATTCCCATCTAGTAGGAGATTCCGAAGGTTTATGTCACAGTGGATGACACGTTTTCCATGGATATAACTGATTGCTTCGGCAGCTTGTTTACACCAGAGTAGTTTCCTATCGAGAGGTATAAACGACTGTGATATGAGATAGTCATTCAAAGAACCATTTGATGCGCGTTGTAGGACGAGACCATTTTCCGTCAGGCCTTTTAAGGCGATAATACGGGGATGGCTTCCAAGGACCTTAAGAAGCTGGGCCTCTATCCTAATCCTCTCGTATTCGCCATGAATACATGGATATTTCAAGACGGTAAACTCATCAATGGCTCCGACGAAACACTCGCCACCGCGACCGATAATCTCTGAAACCCCTGGGGGGTAATATCGGGGCACTTCGATGATTTCGGCATGGGACATGGTATCTGTATGTTCATTACAGCCATCCTACAACAATTAGCAATCAACGAAGTCAATAAACACCCCTTATGACTTACAATTGCTGAGGTTTGTGGACAAGACGTATCATACGCTTCAGAGTCACTAGCATGCTGTGTCCGACCTCGCAAGGCCTTAAAGATTGAACCAGACACGATATCTAAGGGATACCACATCGCTTGGAACAGATGAAGAGAGCGGGAAAAAAGAATCCGTAAGATAGATGACATGTTGCGAAGAGGATGTAAGGAGCCTTGGTGTGCTTGGAACAGATGAAGAGTGCGGGAAAAAAAGAATCCGTACGATAGATGACATGTTGCGAAGAGGATGTGTGAAGGAGCCTTAGTGTCCTAATATATTAAAGGGATGACTATACAAACCATGCAAACTATTCTAACTGATATCCTGACTAATCCATGCATTCTCCCGAGGTTAGTGACCCGCTTTATGTGTAGGGTGACGCTAATCGAAAGCAGCGCCACCTCCCGAGTAGTGGTTTGCGTATGATCATATGATATTAATTACCTGGTCATGTGATTTTATGCCCAATGCGAATCGGGTGCCAAGCTATTGCTGATTCAGAAGGGCATTGTCTTGATTGACTTATGCACGTGGAATCCAGCGATAAAGAACGATTGCTCGGGACTATAGGCCAAGGCCTATGCTTGTGCTGCAGTAGCACGATTCGACTACTCAAGTACCCGCAACCGTACACTAATGTGGAGATTCTATTAGTTTAACTCTGAATTCTAGGGGAAGAAGGCTTGGTGATTTTTTCTTAGATGCAGGTCTTGGAATCCAAGTCGTAGCTCCTGGTGAATTGTCGGTTCGGAAAAGGCCAACGAATGAGAGAGCTTTTCATGGACCTTCACTAAGAGCAAGCTCTTTCACTGATTCGGCTTAAGATAGCCCAACTGTCTTAAAACACCACGACGGACATACGGCCGCTCATGATTGGGCTCAAATGTATCGCGCACAGTTCCCATTCCCCACTTTGGAAGATTGACGCGGTCAAATGGGTGCTCCCCCTCTCCGTAAAGGAAGTCGCGCACCTCTTGTTCAAGCCAAATACCAAATCCAGCACGGGAATGAATGGGACTCACCCCAATCGTGATCCTGGGTTTTGACGTCGTATCCCGGTCCGGCCAGAGGCGATTCTCGCGTATCTGAGTGCGCATCTCTGTGAGGAGATCGCGCCAATTGCCGCCGTCATCGACGAATCTAAGAAAACTCAGTTCAACGGAGCGTAGGGTCTCTGGTAATGCGGAAAGCAAGGAGATGATGTCGGATTGTGACACCAGGAAACGGGACAGTCCGAAATAGCGAAGCTTTGGCCATTTGTCAATAGGAAAGATGGTCTGTAGTGGAATGAAGTGACGAAGTGATCCGGCACTTGAGTCTTCGGCGCCGTCATGAGTAGGATCGGAGATGGGCGTGGCGTACACTCTAATATGTTGCATATTCTTTGCTTCGCTTAGTGCCTGGCAAAGCTTTCCATTCCGGAAAGAGCTCCGATTCCGTTCCCACTCTTGTCCATGTTCAATAAAGGCAAGATCTAGGTGACAGAAACCAGGGTGTTTGAGCACCGTAGCAAATTTTCATATTCCTCGCATGAGCTATCAAATATCGTGCAGTCGAGTCCAGTGGCGAGTTGGTTGGCATTCATGATCAGTTCGGAGACATTATGTTCTTCTGTCGCGAGAACGCGTGTCACGATGCGAAAACCGCGATATTTGTCTTTTTCTATTTCATCGAGAGCTTGCCACGGCGTAGCGAACGGCGGAGCCGGAGCCAGGTGATCCCCCGCGGTCGGCCACCCACGCGGGATTGGGTAGTTGAATCCTTTAGGAAATGCACGAATCATCGGGGTCTGATATAATGGGGCAAAAAGCCAACCGTGCGCTGTTGGCGTGATGGTGATTCTTTTGAGTGCAGGGAACCGCTTCAATCCGTATAAGAAGACGTCCTTATCGCTCTCAGCGGCTAGTACATATTCTTGCTGCTGTAACAGATACTGGTGATGCTCCCAGCACTTTCGTAGAGAAGGCTGCACAGCAACCTGTTCTGCTCGCGCGATGTGATCCGGGCGATCCACATCGCCATACTTGCGTTCTTCCAGCTGTTCGAGGTTTTCCTTGCATGCCTTCACAAACCAAATAGGGCATCCCTCATCCTCGTCCTCGCCCATATCATATTCCGAAACGCTTCGTTCTAGGACGTCGATAAAGCGAGCATCATCCCAGACAATTTCAGTCACATCGTGGCGGAACGTCTTGTGGTCCGCAATTGCGCGGAAGACTTCAATATTTAATGGGTTAGCGGATAGGAAGACTCGCTTGATGCGGAGACTCGAATCGCCAAAGCGTCTACATGTGAGGCGTAGAGACTTGATGTCGCTGTTCGACAAGTGCGATAAAATCGATTGCCACAGCTCGGGGGGAAGCGAAGGGAGTTGGTCGTTCTGAGTAGCCATTTTGGCTTCATCTGAGTAGGTGTGAGGTTGGAGGGGCATGCTTAGCAGATGGGGCAATGCTCCACTATAAGGACGGGGCTCTGGGAAACAGTGAGAGAGAAATGGAAGTAAAGCTGATTTCGAATATTACTGTATTATTATTTTTTTTCATTTTACGTAACTCAGGGTGTCCGCACTCGCACGTCGCAAGTACGCACAAGTAGTCAGTGCTTGCTAGTGGTAGTGTAAACCAGGCCGGCTAGTGAATGAAAGGCTTGAGACGAGGTGCAAGCACCAGGATAAGAATCGATCACCCTGCAATTTTACCATAATGGGTGAGAGGCTTCACTCTGAGAAAAAAGTTATATGCTCGAGTCATGATGCAACCAATTAACAGAGCTCTCGCGTGGCTGTATACAGGTGCCAAGAGATTAATGTTTCAGAGGCTGCGGTCATATCCAATGAAATATCACCGTAGCCTTGCAGAGCGGCCTAAGCGGTCAATATGCTGGCCCAGAGGCACACCCTCTCTATTCCGCACTCACCCTGGGTGCGCAGGGTGACGCCAATCAAAAGCGGCGTCACCCCCCTGCTCACCCAGGCGAAACCCACCGAACTATTGATCGAGCATAAGCCGCACGCCGACAGATTAGTAGTTGAGTGACCAGCGATACGCTTAGTATCCAGCCATGTCCATGTCTAAGATGGGCTATAATTTGATTTCATGCATGTGCCAAAGAACAGAGCCCCTCCTGATTATGAATGATAGGCTGTTTCTTAGCGCTGGCCTGCTCTATTTTTGTTTTAGCACTACTCGGATCACCTCAGCGCTTGTGCTGTGACACTTCAGGAAAATACATACGTCGATTGGCAGTAGGGATGCACGGGCCTCTACACTCGGGTTGGAAGGATAAATAGACAGCTACAGTATGGACTACGCACCTTTAAGCACAGATTTTGGTATAACAACATACGTTTCAGCACCTAATATCTTTAGATACATTCAATTACATATCTCTACCACGCATTCTATCTTTGGAGGCCCAAAATCGTTAGTGAAATTAACAGGTATGAAGTAGAGACTTGCAATATCGGACGATACTGACCAAAAGGCACTTTTAGCCGTCTCCTTCGATAGCCCTTATCGCAATGACAGCAAGTTCTGGTCAAGCCGGTTCCTGTAGGAATGCAAAGTGTAAACACTGGAATGATGCGCACAACAAGTACACGTGCAAAGCAGCGGGTTGTCGGAAACAATGGAAAATTTGCCAAACGGGCGAGCACGGACTTTCCGGGAAATGGGCAATTTGCTTGAAATGCGAGGCTCACCCCGCTGGTGGGCCTGACGGCTTTGAGGAGTGGATTGATCTGACGATCTAGACACTTTAATTCACATGGCTAAGCCATTGACTGACAAACGATTGACAACCATTCTCTTGACCGCTATCTGAATTGATATCAACATCGTCCTCGTCGGAGCTTTCAATGTCGATCCAGGAATGCCGATATAAAGGTTTTTCATTTGCTGGGTACCCTGTGGATCTAAGCCAACCAAAAATTCCGCGAGTTGCAGCCTCCGAAGCTACCTGGGAAAACAAGTTTGAGCCATTTTGTATCGGGTAGTAGTTTTCCTTATGTCTCTGTGCTAGGAATTCTCCACCAAATTCCATCAGAGATATGCCGGAGTCTTCGAGCGTCTCTCCATTTGCTAGAGTCCAGTTCCAGGTTTTGTACTTCAAACAGTGACAGCGGCAAGCGGCATGTTGCTGTACTGCAAGTTCAGTATCAAGAAGCCGAGTTTCTCCAAACGGTTTCCACGGATGAATGGGGGGTCTAGTATATCCATCACAGGCTGTGATAAATAGCAAACGACACTCGTCTTCCCTGCGGATCATTTGACCGTCATTAATACCAGGTTCCACAGTTATGAAAGATTGGTGCGTTCCTGTCCAAGCCGCTGCATTGAATTCCGTGGCTGTAAGCCCGATCCGGATATTTCGTATTGTAGGGTTTGCTAGTCCCACCACATTCGCACCGAGCCAAAGGCTAGCTAATCTGGGCTGTCGATATCCAAGGACTTTGGCGAGCGTAAGAGCCTTCTCGCCCTGGACCAAAGGGTTTGTTATTGCAAAGATAGGATTGAGCCAGGCGCTGACAAGGTTGCATTCAACCTCTCCGTTGAAGAAGGTACTAGAAAGTAAAGAACGCATGCCCCACACATTACAACTCAGCATCATATAACGGGAAAGAAATTCCGAGTATTCCTTCACTAGACTTGATGATTTTTGTGACAGAGACGACGGTCCATAGTGCAAGGCTGGTTTCGGGACAGGAAGCGAAATGGAATCTCCACTGAGCAATGGAATGTAAAGCGCAGCAACTAGGGCCACGGAACACTGCCCATAGAGTCGGTGACGAGAGCAAAACCTGGCTAGATATTCCAAAGCAGCACCAGATGACGGTGGTCCTTCTTTAGAGATTGGATAACCTCCTGCTATCCCCATGTTGGCTTTATCGGAGAGAATAACAGACCAAGGTGAGCAGTATGTTTTTTTTTTGTAATCTGTAGTTATTTCCCAGCCGCCGCCAGAGCGCAATATAGCCCCCCACCAAGCTGCTTCAGCAGCTTCAACATCGTGTCCTATATCAATTTCGATTGTATCATGGTGTCTGGAACCTGTTGCAATACTGGCCTTGTGCATGAAGTTGCTACTGCATTGGTGTCCCGAAGCGTGCTTTAGTGATTCTGCCCATCGCGCAGAAAGGATATAAGCCCACGCAAGGAACAAAATACTAATATAATTTCCCTCGTCATGGTTTGAGATGCCATCAACACCAGGCCATTCTTGCAGGGGGGCAGAATTTGATATCTCCACTGTCAATGGGTTGGGAACGGCCAGCAGAATATCCAAAGACATTGTTTTCGGTTCGAGGCAACATTGCCCATGTGAAGTAGTCCAGGTCGATTGTCCAGAAATTAGGAGACCAAACTGTCCCCTGCTCGATTCCCTTTCTACACAAGTAAAGGGCAGTTCAGTGTCTTTAGAAACCAATCCATATCCAAGGAAAGACGGCGTTCTCTCGAGAAGCGATTTGAGATCGATGGAAAAAGGTGGGAGACGAGGGTTTTTATGAGCATTTGTCAGGTGGGACGACCATTCATCATAGCTTTCGGAAAGGATACGATCGAATTTTTTTTTGCTTGGACGAACGGCATCATCCATGTCAGACTCAGACTATGTAGTTGAGTCCAAGGCACTGCAGCTATGAATCCAGCGGAGTGCTAGACAGACAAGTTCGAATAAAAGATGTCTAGGGATTTCGGTGCTTATGAACGCCAGACAATTAATGGGTAAAATGACGCATGAAGCTAATGATTTGGATGTATTCAAGAACAAAGATAGCAACACTGGCAAGTTCTGGGGGAAGGGAGCTCTGTGGCTATGCAGCTCTATTATTACTAAGCACTGTTTGTTTTTCCGTTCCGAAATACCCTCGATGAACACAATCAGGTACAAAATCAGGAAAAACTATCCTCAGCCAAGGGTAAAATTAAGTATAAGCTGTAACTAACTAATCCTGCCGTCGTAAGAGGCTGCTAAAAAGGTCATATATAACGACAAATAGGTTTAACAACTGCGTTTCCTCATCCCATGTCGCGCAATAAAGGTGTTTAGTTTAAAGCATATCTTGCCTGGCCATTGATAAACTATTGCCAACTGGGGGAATAGCGGTCCACCGTTTGCCTGCGCCGAGATGGACCGTATCGCTGTCTTGACACACCTTCAGTGCCATTGCTCTTGCCACCCGAGGCTTGAACTGCCTCGCAAGATGCACCTCTGTAAGAAGATTTGCTCGTCGCGTGGGAACTCCGCCCAGAATTTCCAGCCTTGCGGCCGCCCTTGAGGCGTGTGCAATAGCGCACTTGGAGGGAGCCTTCCGACCTTCCAGGGAAATACTCTGCGATTCGCTTCCATGGCAAGCTCCGCTCTTCCTTCAATTCAATCAAAAGCTGGTCGTCCTTAGGTAGGAACCGGGTTGGCCCGGTCGTTTTCCCAGCGCGGGAACCTTTCTGGGGGGGCTGCTTGGAATGCTGGCTGCCGCTTTTATTTTCATAATGTGATGTAGCTCTGCCTGATCTCTGAGAGCAGGAATGCTCTGCCTGCTCTTCAACGGTAACAGAATAGATGACCCTTGAGAAAAGTATCTGCCGTGTAAGGAAACCTTGGACAGGGATCGTTTCGATATCGCGCAAGCTTGTTAGGGAAGTCTGATCTGCGACCCCTTTGGATTGAACTGCCTCGTCCACTAAGAGGCGTTTAGTGTTGTGCCGGGGAGGCCTAGACTTAAGCCGCACGGCAGGTCGCCTTGCACTTTTAGATCGATAGGAAGGAACACTATTTCCATATGCACCTTCACCACTTTCACGCACGTAGTCCGCATTGTCGGTGTCATCAGGGTCATCATGGTCATCGCTGCTGTTATCGGATAGATACTCATCACGGTTTCGCTTTCGCTTTCTGCTCGGAGAGGCAATCCGTGTTATCGAGACAGAGTCCTTCGTTCCTCGCTCTTGGGGGCGAAGGTTGGAGATGACGACCAACGGCTGGTCCGACACTAGGGGCTCATTCAACACTGGACAGAATCCTGTATCTTCCTCTGCTGGGCTGTATGGCGACTGCTTCTCACTGTCTTGAAATGCGGGTGAGATCGAACGCGCCGATGTTCCATTTTGACTGAGCTTAGGAGATGCTGATAGGCGCTCCGTATCACGACGCTGTAGCTCGCCTTCTTTGCCATGAGCTGTAGCCCCGTCTTTCTCCTGGCGAATAACCACATGGCTTTCGGAACTAGGCTGCCTATTGTACTTCTCAGCCGGCATGCTTTCCCCGATAGTGCAAGCTGCCGGTTTCAACCCTAATTCATCTGCTTCAATTCTAGCATCTCCAGACAACAAATGCGTTAGAGTGGATTGCTTTTCCTGGCCCATAGGGTTAAGGATTTCGTCATTGACCATTGTATTGCCGTCTACTATATCTATTGTCGGGTTCGAATGTCGCAAAATGTCTCCCTCCATCGTGGCTTGGTCTGCATTCTACCACGTGAGCCAGAGGAGCTAGGCAACCTAGCTAACCGAGAGAGCACTGACCTGCATTTTTATATGCTTCTGTTTGGCTTCGAATTTCTTCCTCCTCCACCGGGACGTAGGGGCTATCACGGACCGATATAGAGCATAAAGTAGTGGATTGCTCAGTGCCTCCCCCCTGGATAATATCTTGAGAAGGAGGTGTCACGTTGCTCTCATGATGCTCGTCACCTTGGAAGTCTGGTCTCAAAGTGCGAAGTCAGCTCTTAGCTCTTTATATAGTTGACCACTTTATCGTTAAGGAAAGAGAGATAGGCCCGATGAGTTTAACGGAGTGGATTGAAGAAATTAAGGGAGTCAAAATGATGGCCACCACGTACCATCGAAATGCTGGTCGTATAAACGTTGCCCTGGATCACTGCTGGAAACATCATCCGGCAATTCTCGACTCGCTGTGTGTATATTTGATATAGCAACGTTTGTATCTCTTCCTAAAGAGGTATTCAAGAAATCCATATCAAACTCATTCGAGTCAACGGTCACTTCTTTCGCAAGCTCGGCGGGGGATAATAACGTCTCGACTTCACTAGACGGATGGAATTGACTTTGGAGGTGCGGCGCATGCCCCGTGAATGGAAGACTCGAATGCCAGTGCTGGCTGGGTAGAAACGGATTGGCTGGCGCGGGTCTATCCGAAGACGACTGTGAATGGATACGAGCGTGGGAACTGGGTGCCTGGAACGGTTTGAAATGTGGACTTTTAGCAGGCGGACGATAATGGATGATGTCGTCCAGAGTGATCGGTGCCATGCTGCGAGAAAGATTCAGACGCAATGCAGCAGAATAGAAGAGAGGGAACCAAGGACGGATAGTCAGCCTCCTTCTCGTTCTGAGGAGTTCTAACAACCCTTTATACCGGCCAACCGTCCCCTACCTCTTTCCGAGCGTTTTGGGCAGGCCGAATAGACAAAAGTCATGAGACAAAGCGCAGCCTGCTGATACGAAGCTCCACCAACCCATCCACAACGGAAATCACTAAGGAGTCACGCGCAAGGCCGACACTATATGCGGCATTTCTCCTATTGGATCAAAGCGTTTCATATTCGGAGAAGTCCTGGTCCGCCCTACTACGCCTCGCCAGAAGAGGACCGTGGCGAAGGGATCGTCTCCGATAGGCTGCTTAGCGTGGGGATCAGCGTCCAGTCGGGTGAGACATCATGCGCACGGCGGTGCCGAGCCTCTCCGGAACCTCCAATATTCCAGGTGCCTCGATCCCCTTTGCTGCGCCTCGCCAGGATAGTACAATCGCGGCAAGATCGTCCAAGGAAGATCACTTGGCGCAGATATTGGCGTCCAGTCAAATGATAACCCATCCGTAAGTTGATGCTGGCCTATTCAAAGCCACCAAAAGTCGGAGCCCTCACGAAAAAGAATCGGGGAACGAGACATTCTTCGTCATGGGCTCAAGATGGTGGACCAGGCGGGGCGTAAAGAGCAGCGAATGCCAACGAGTGCATAGGTGGGACAAGAGCTCGTGATCAGCACTAGCTAGGAGAGCGCCGCGTCACAACCGTGCCCGACTGACCAGCTGGTCGATCGAATCTCCTCGCAAGTCGAGGTTCTCTCCCGAGCCAGTCGTAGATGGCTGCGCCGCTGCAGTGGGCACAACAAACACATACCCGGGAAACAGGGACCAGAGGGTAGGCATGTTCGCTGTCACCCGAGTCAAATCATATGGTGGCAGCGCAACGGTCCAATCTGAGTATCAGGGTGACCAGGAGGCCGATAGATAGATCCATCTACAGCCAGTCGAGTGGGGAAAGGGCGCGTAGGCGATGACGAGGAACTCAGCTGAAACAGGGAGGCGCAGGGGGTAGTATGCCGTGCGATCCGGAATTACGGTATCATTTCACCGCTGGGCATGACGGGAGAGAGAAGAGTGCAGTCAGTCAAAAGTGAGGAGGACGGTGGAGCGACGCACTGGGAGTTATATAGTCCGAAGGGTGAGGCTGGCAGGCGGTCGGAGATGGCAGATGCCCGTTTGGGGATAGTCGGAGAGGCCAAACTACTTCGGGAGCTGCTAAACCAGATCCGAGTCCGCTAAACCAGAACAGGAGCGGGCTGTGCTTAAGCCATTTTAGGAAGAGCGTAGACGCCAAACCGAATTGGGATGGACCAAACCCAAACGGGCGGGACGCCAAACCCGATCGAGGGGGGCGCCGAATCCGGCCGCGTCGGCACAAATGGTATTTGTACTATTAGTAATAGTCCTATCTAGTTATTTTACTAGTAGTTTATAAAGTATTATAAGTACTATTTTACTATCTAGTTTATTCTCTTAGTCTAACCGTTAGTCTATAGATAGTATATAATAGAGAGTTTAAGCTTAATATCTATTTAATCTATAAATAATTACTATATTTTTAATATAAAGAGCTTATCTTAATTAGATATAATCTTAGTTAGTATCCTATAGTTAGTAACTATATATTATAGTAGTATATTTACTATCTAGTTAGTATTAATAGTCTTAGTAGTTAGAATTATATAGGCGTACTTAGTAAGCCTATTAACTATAACTATAATTATATTATATCCTTTAGAGGTTAGTAGCTTTATAATAAAATCTATAGTAATCTATTCCTATAGTTTAGATAGGGTTTCTAATAGCTATAACTCCTTATATAGTATATATCGTACTAGCTTATTTCTTTAGTATATATTATATCTCTATATATAGGATTAGACCTTATAGTTTATATTCGGAAAATAGTAATTTCGCGAGATATATTCTATAGTTTTTTCCGTCTCTATATATCTATATATAAGGTTATTATAGTATCGTTTTATAACCTTATCCTAAAGTATTATAGGTATATAGACTAGTCTATATATATAAAATAGTCTAGTTTTATCTTTAGTAATCTTACTATTACTATTATTAGCGGCTTACTATATATTTTCGTCTACTTTATCTTAGTAGTATTATAGGAAATTATTATCTTATATTTCTATAGTAGTAGCTAGGATCTATTAGTTATATAAGATAGTACTATCTTAGTTTTACTTTAATATAGTAGGTTCGGCTATCTTAATACTAATCTTATAATCTAGTCGTCTACTAAACGCGTCTATTTAGCTATTCTCTATACTTTTATAATACTCGATTTTAAAATCGTATTAGGCGAGGGTTTTAGCCTATTATACTTATCGTTATATAAGGACCTTTATTATAGTAAAGAACGTAAGGTTCTAATAGTCGGTTTATACTACTATAGTATATTTTACCCCTTCTAGGTATACTCTCTATATCTAAAATATTAATATTATAGCTAATAGCTTTTTATTATATACGTTATAATTAAGCTCTATAGGGATTATCTTTCTTAACTAGAAGGTAACTAGCTAAGTATTCCTATCTTTTTACTTCTATATTAGTCTTACTCTAAGGGCGAAGTCTAATATATCTATTTCTAGTATAATTAGTAAGTTATAGTTAAAGTTTACTATAATTATACGCTTACTAAATAGCTTCTTAAGTTTCTAGAATAATTTCTCTACTACTTTATCCTATTAGAATACTTATCCTTTTTTAGTAAATCGATATAGCCTAGTAGCTATCCTAGCGTATCTATTAATATTTCTCTAATAATAATTTATAAGACTAAGAAATTATTATACTTCCTTTATATTCTTTAGTATAGGCTAATCTATAATACTTTTAATCTTATCTTCTTCTATACCTAGTCTATCTAGACTAATATAGTATCCTAGGAATCTTATTTTTTAGATATAAAATTTATACTTCTTAAGTTTAAATATAATCTTAGCGTTATATAGCTTATTAAATACTAACTTATTATACTTAATATAATTATTAAGTATTTTAGAATATACTAAGATATTATCTAAATATATAATAATAAAGATATTAAGATATTTCTTAAAAACGCTAAAAATAAAGTATTAGAATATTACTAGTATATTAGTAAGACTAAAAGATATAACTAAATATTTATAATATCTATACTTAGTTCTAAATACTATTTTCTATTTATAGCCTAGCTTAATCTAAATATAATAGTATATATTAGTAATATTATACTTTAAAAAGTATCTTACTTCCTAAATCCGATCTTAGATCTTATAGATTAAGGGTAATAGATATCTATCTTTAATAGTAATTAAATTTAGATATCGATAATCTATATAAAACTATAGGTTTAGATCCTTTTTTAGTATAAAGATAATTAGATATCTAGCTAGTAATTTTAAGGCTTAAATATAATCTTTTTATAGGTTCTTATTAATATACTCTTTAAGTATCTCTAATTCCTTTAATAAAAGTATATAGATAGGCTTAAATATAGATTCTATACCTTCTTTAGTATTTATCTTATAGTTAAAGATCCTATATTTAGATAATACTCTATCGGCTAGTACTATAAATATATCTTTAAATTCCTAGTATTTATCTAGAATCTTAGGTTTATTACTAGTTATATATAGCGTCTATTCCTTATTCTTAATCTATATATAGTCTACTAGTTCTTAGTCTAATATATTAGGTACTTATTCTATAATATCTAAAGTAATACTTATTATTACTTACCTATTCCTACCTTTAGAATATTAATTTCTACTAGTATCTTTCTAGGCTAATTTTTTCTAATAAGTTTAGTAGTTATTAAACTACTCCTTATAGTTATACTTATTAAAGCGTATTTTTTCTATACGCTAGTTAATATTTAGATTATACTTCCTAAGCTATAGAATATTTAAAATAATATTATATCCTTTAATCTCTAGAATATTAAACTTTATTATTTCTAGATAGCTATAGATATTTATAGATATATTAATAGTTTCTTCTTATATTCCTCCTAAAAGTATCTCTCTATCTAATCTAGAGATAGGGATAATATATAATAGTTATTTAGTTAGAATATACTATTCTATCTAGAACCTTAGGCTTATAAAGTTATTAATAATACTATAGTTAATAAGCGTATATACTTTATCTATTAGTAGTATTATATATATCTTAATATATTCTCCTAAGGATATAGTAGCTAGCTATAATCTAGGCTAGTATATTAATTAGTTAGTAGGCCTATTTTTATAGTTATATAGCTATTATCTATTATACTATATTCTTTAGTATTCTTACTTCTATTATAGCTTCTTTATCTATCTTAGTAGTCTAGGTTTAATACTATAGTCTAGCTTATCCTACTTATAGATAGTATAGGTTTTATTATAGTACCTTATAGTAGCTATTCTACTATATCCTAAGTATCGTACGTATCCTTTATATATATAAGTAGAATCTTTATATAGGTATCCTATTAGGTCTTCGCCTTTCTCGATTATATTAATAAGATACTAGTCTAACCTATAGGTCTATACCTTTTTTTCTAGATATCCTATAGGCTTAGTCTCTTTAGCCCCTTTATCGCTAGAGTCTAGATAATAGTTTAGACTTTTTTAAAATATTTTAGGGATTACTTATTCTATTTCTATAGATAAGGTCTTTAGGCTAATAGTAATAGTTATCTTCGTACCTTACTCTTATAAGCTATTATCTATTTTCTAAAGGTAATTTAGCCCCTAAGGGATATATTATATCTATCTCTAGCTCTCTATAGTATCCTAATCGATTTCTAGATAATCGATTCTATTAGCGTACTCTCTATAGTACTTACTAGCTAGTACGTTATCTCTATTATAGGTCCTTTCCTATTTATTAATAAGTTTATTAAGAAGCTTATCCTAAAAGATAGCCTATAGGTCACTCTATAGATCTTTAC